GTCATCCATTTGCTCCGCCACTCGTCCGTGCCGACGTTGCTCAGGTTCCCGCGCTCCGCCGTGAGCGTCTCGTACGCGCGTTTGATCTCGTAGAACGTCGTCGGCTCCTCGCCGACGAGGAGGACGTCCGGGTGGTACCGCTTCGCGAGGCGCTTGTACGCGCGTTTGACCGCCTCCTGCGACGCGCCGGGGGCGACGCCGAGGGTGAGGTACATCGCCTCTCGCGAGTGTGGGTCCAGCGCGTTCCGCGGCGGCGCGAGCGCGACGCGGCGCGCGCGCGCGCGCGGGGTCGGGGTCGGGGTCGGGGTCGGGGTCGGTCGCGACGTCGACGTTGACGTCGACGCGAGCGAGCGACGCGAAGGCCCCGCGGTGGGTGGGGCCGCGCGTTGGACGCGGAAGGACGCGCGCATGGCGGAGTGGAGCGGCGACGACGCGACGACGGTTCGCTGCGCCAGGTTGGCGCGCGCGTCCGCGATCGGATCTCCTTAATTTGCGGTGGGAGACGGGTGAAAACGACGGTCTAACGACGAGTTAATCGGCTCGACTGTCGACGATCGCGTTTTCCGAGGAAAAGGGGGACGACGCGACGGACGGAACGAAAGTCACGTCGAGCGCGTCCCGACGACTTCCGCGTCGTCGAGCGTCTCCCGTCCCGCACTGCACGACGCGCGCGCGCGCGAGCACGCCCGCACGCGCCGGCCGTCCTTCGCATCGGCGGACAGTCAGCGTCCGCGGTCTCTGCGGGAGCGCGCGGCGTCGCGCGTCGCATCGCGGCGGCGAGCGAAACGGTTCGCATTTCGTCGTCGCGTTCGTTTGGTTTTCTCCCTCCAGACGACGACGACGACGACGACGACGACGATGCCGGCGTCCACGCCCAAGGGCTTCGGGTCGTCCTCCGCCGCGAGGACGCCATCCAGCGCGTCCTCCTCCTCCTCCTCGAAGACGACCACGCCGAAGCCCACGACCGCGAACGCGCTCGCGCTCGTCGGGAAAGAGAACCACCTCTCTGTCGTCGGCGCGCGAGATGCCGCGGTCGTCTCGCGCGATAAAGCGACGCTCAAGGAGCACCGCGGCGCGCTCGAGGACGAGACCAGGGAGTTCCTGACGCGCGAGGTGAACCGCCTGACGCACGAGCTGCACGTCGCGCGCGCGGAGAAGGATTGCGTGGGCAGAGCCGCCGCCGCCGCGGTCGCCGCCGTCGCAAACTCCGTCTCCGTGGACGCGCACGACAGAGTGCGCCTGGACCTCGACGAAGCGCGCGCCGCGCTCGACGCGATGCGCATCGCCGCCGCCGCCGCGGACGCGCGGCACGAGCTCCTGACGCAAGATCTGCGCGCGCGGCTCGACGTCGAGCGCGAGCGAAGAGAGGCGATGGTTCGAGAGGCGATGGACCTGGCGAAGGAGGAGGAGGACGCGAGACGGATAGAAAACGACGAGTGGCTCTTGCGCGCGATCGAAGAAAAGCACGAGCTCGCGACGACGCTGGAGAGGGAGCGATCCGCGCTCGCATCGCGCGTGGACGAGCTCGAGCGCGTCGTCGTCGAGGGCGAGGCGTGCCTGCGCGACGCCGCGAGCGAGAAGGAGGCGGTGAAGCGAAAGTACAAGAGGCACGCGGCGACGGAGACGAGCGGCCGCCTCGCCGCGGAGGCCTCCGCCGCCGCGGCGAGAGCCGAGGCGAACTCGTTGCGGGTCGTCTTGGAGAAGTTCGCCGCCGCGGGCGCGAACGTGGAGTGGCCGGACGTGCGGGTCGTCGAGACGGTGGACTGCGCGGCGTCGCCGGTCCCGGCGTCGTTGTTCGCGCCGTTCGCCGAGCGGCTGTTCGACGTCGCCGAGGAGGAGGATGCATACCCCCGCGGAGACGCTCCTCCGCGTGGATCTTTCCACGCGGAGGAGGAGGAGGAGGAGGACGCGACGACGACGACGGAGTGCGCGTCCGCGGCGGTCCCGGCGACGCCCGCGACGCCTGGCTTCAAAAAGTTCGCGTCCATGGAGCGCGACGACAGCGCGATGACGAGCGGCGAGCGCGATTCTCGCGGCGGCGGCGGCGGCGTCGGCGGCGTCGGCGGCGTCGCGTCCGTGTCGAGTAAGTTGGCGCGTCTGTCCACGTCTTCGTTCGCGCTGGAGTACACCCCTCCCTGCAAGGTCGCCGGCGATGCATACCGCGGCGACCGCGCTCTCGCGCTCGGGACGGCCTTCGCGGACGACGAGACGACGACGGCGCTGGCGGCCGCGACGATTTCGCAGGCGCTCGCCGTCGTCGCCGAACGCGCGCCGAAAACGCGGGACGACTGGAGACGCGTCTGCGGGTGGAGCTGCGTCGTTCTCTTCTGCGTCGTCCTCGCGCTCGCGACGTACGAGGCGTACCTGCGCGCGTTCGGGGGGTACGGGGAGATGCGCGCGGTGCCGATGCGCATGGGCGGGGTCCCGCCGGGGATGAGGTACATACGCGTCTAGTAGCTCGCGAACCGAGTTTGCTTTAAGTGAGTGTCGAACGATCCCGGACGCCGTCTGTTAAGGGAGGGGTTCACTGCTGCCTTTCGCGCTGTAATTTGAGCGGGTTTTTTGTGCCGATGCGTGGGGGCTTTCCGGCGATTTGATAGGCTGGAGCGCGCTGCTTGACCGCTGCCCGTTTTTCTTTTTGCGCTGTTTTCGCGCTGCCCGTCGCGCTGCCCGCGCGCTGCCCGCGTGACTGGTGACCGCGTGACCGCGCGCTGCCTCGCGCGCTGCCCGTCGCGCTGCCTTCGCGCTGCCTCGCCGCTCAAGGCAGCGCGAAGGCAGCGCGCGCCAGCCAATAAGAACGCCGGAAAGCCCCCACGCATCGGCACAAAAAACCGACCCGAATTACAGCGCGAAAGGCAGCAGTGAACCCCTCCCTCTGTTATCTGTCGCGCGCGCGCTCGAATCTCCGGTTCTCGAGTCGCAGTGCAGTGCTCGACCCGCGTTGCGATGTAGGCAACCGCAACCCTCGCTCGGCACTGCGACCGCGCGCGCGCACGCGGCGCGACGTCGCTCGACCGGGCGTCATGTTCTGGCCGAGCTCATCGACGCAGCGGACGTTCCGGTGCGCCCCCGCGGCCGGCGCTTCCCTCGCTCCGTCCCGATTTCGCGCTCTGGGCGACCCGACGCCCCCGAGCGCGCGACGGTCCGCGCGTCGCGCGACGCGTGATTTAATTTAATTAATTATTTTCTCATCCGCCCGCTCCCCCGCTCCCCGTCCCCGTTCACGAACAGTCCGAAGAAGAACGCGCCCGTGGGAAGCAAAGGCGCGGCGCTGAAGCAGCACATCGACGCGACGCTCGGGAGCGGCAACCTCCGCGAGGCGGTGCTGCTCCCGCCCGGGGAGGATCTGAACGAGTGGCTCGCGGTCAACACCGTGGACTTTTACAACGCCATCTCGATGCTGTACGCGACGTTAGGCGAGTACTGCACGGATAAGAACTGCCCGACGATGTGCGCGGGACCGAAATACGAGTACCGATGGGCGGACGGCGTCAAGGTGAAGAAGCCGATCGAGTGCAGCGCGCCGCGGTACGTGGACTACCTGCTCGAGTGGGTCGAGTCGCAGGTGGACGACGAGGCGACGTTTCCGCAAGCCTCGGGCGCGGCGTTTCCGAAAAACTTTCAGAGCATCACGTCGAAGATCTTCAGTCGGCTGTTTCGCGTCTACGCGCACATATACCACTCGCACTTCAACCAGATCGTGAGCTTGGGCGCGGAGGCGCACTTGAACACGTGCTTCAAGCACTTTATATACTTCACCGGCGCGTTTTCGCTCGTGAAACGCGAGGAGCTCGCGCCGCTCGGGGAGCTCGTGGACGGCATCTTAGGCGGCGTGCAGATCCCGGGGGGGTCGCGGGGGTCGGGGTCGGGCGCTGGGGTCCCGAACGCGTCGTGACCCACCGTCGCGGTGAACCGACGGCGCGCTCGGGACGCGTCGTGTACGTATTTTTGTATCGTGTAAGAGTATCGTATGAGTAAACAGAGCTAGACGCGTACTCGTACTATTGTCCCCGACGCGACAAGACCTGACGGCGCTTTATCTCTTCGGGGTTTTACCTCGGCTAGGGCCGGAGGCGCAGACCACGACGCGCTTCGAGCGCGGGGACACGGCTCGCGCGGTCGAGGGCGGTCCGAGCGAGCGCGCGCGTCGGGGGATCGCGCGCATCGGTCGCGGCGTCGCGGAGCCGACTCCGCGTGGACCGGGGGCCGAGCGCGGACGCGAGCGCGTCTGCGCGGCCGACGCGGCGGTCTCCGAATCTCGCGTCGTCTCGCGTCGGCGGAAGAATCTTTCGAGAGGAGGAGGGCGCCGAGGCGGGGAAGCATCGCGGCGGCGTTCGCGCGGCGCCGAGGCCTCGGGAGAGAGACGCCGCTGAGATTTGAGTCATCGGCGTGATGGCGCGCAGCGACTCCAAGCGCGGCAGCGCCGGCGGGAAGAAGGGCGCCGCCCCGGCGAACGCCGCGTCGTCGCACGCCGGCGACTCAAGCGGCACGACATGCGCGATCGCGGACGCCGCCGCCGCGCAAAAGGCGAAGGAGAAGGAGATCAGGCTCGAGTGCGCGAAGGCGTTCGCATGCTACAAGAAAGGGAACGTCAGGCAGGGCGCGAAGGATCTCGAGAAGCTCCTGAAGGCGCATCCGAACCACCCGCTGCCGCACTACGCGTACGTCCGGATCTCGCACAAAGTCGCGCTCGGGACGTCCGCGGCGAATCGGAAATTTCTCGAGAAGGCTTTCAAAGAGACTCGAGATCGCGCCAAGGCGGCGCTCGTGGCGTGCCCGGACTCGCTCGTCATTCGTCTCCTGTTCGCACAAGTCGTCATGGACACGCCGCTGCCGCCGACGGACGACCACGTCGCGTTGCGCGCCGCGATCGACGACGCGCACGTACCGACGGAGGGAACGGCGGCGCCCGCGGACTTCAAACACGCCAAAGCCGCGGCGTCGTTCGACGACGACCACGTCGCGCTGCCGCTGTTCCCGGACCTGCGCGAGTGCGTGGACAGCAAAGCGTACGCGTCCGAGGCTGCGGACATGATGAAGGCGACGCTGCCGACGATCTGCGAGGTGTGCAGAGAGGCGGAGGGTTTAGGCGCGCGCGCGCTCATGAGCTTGAGGGCCAACGGAGAGACGTCGTCGCCGAGCGAGGAGAGCGCTCTGAGGGCGCAGACGCTCGTCGAGTCGTACATCAAGATGAGAGATAACCGGCATAACCGGGACCGGGTCTTGAGGCACAACCGCGCGCAGGGGAGGGAGCAAGAGAGGCAGCGGAAGCGGAACGAAGAGGAGGCGCTCAAGCGCGCGAAAGCGCGAGAGCAGGAAGCCGCGGAAAGAGCCGAGGAGCGCGCTGCGGAGGCTGCGATCGAGGCCGCGGAGGCTGCGGAGTCCGGGCTCGCGCGCGTGAGCGTGAGCGTGAACGGCGCGCACGCCGGCGGCGACAAGGCTGGTGACAAGGCTGGGGACAAGGCTGGGGACAAGGCTGGGGACAAGGCTGGGGACAAGGCTGGGGACAAGGCTGGGGACGGCGACAAGGCTGGGGCGGAGAAGCTCGACCTCATCGCCGACGCGGTGCTATCCGACGCGAAGGACGGGAAGCCTCAACACGCGTCCGGCGCGAAGAAGCAAGCCGCCGCGAAGAGGGAGTCCACCGCGGACGCGCGGCTGAAGGAAGCGCAGAGCGCGAGGGTGAAGTCGATGAAAGCGGTGAAGAAGTACTGGAAGTCGCGCGTCGAGGAGGATCCGATGAACGTCCTCGAGCTGACGGACATCCCGATGAAAGCGCTTCGGGAGTACTCCGAGGGGTACTTCGCCGCGATCAAGGAAGGCCGCGCGGATCTGAACCTCCTCAAGAGCATCATCGAGGATCGCATTCAGACGGGACGGTGGCGGCACTGGCGGTGCCAGATCCCGAATTGCGGCTGCGGCGGGCGCCAGTTCAAGTCGCTCAGCCTGTTCAAGTGCTTGGAAAGGCACGTCCCGAGAGACGTCAAGCGAGAGATGGCCGGCGACGCGTCCACGTGGCTCATCCCGATGGCGCTCCCGGACGACGTCCACCTCGAGGAGACGCGCGCGGCGGCGGGGACGTACGGTTCGAACACCGGGTCGTACGTCTCGAAGATGATAAAAAAGGCGGAGACGTCTCCGGCGCTCGCGGAGACCGCGGAGTCTGTCGATCTGGAGGACATCCGAAGCGAGTTCAAGGTGGCGACGCCGAGCGAGCTCGCGGGAAAACTCGTGGGAAGGAACGCGCCGCTTTTGAGCGCGAACGCGGACGTGTTCCGCGCGGACGCGGTGCTCGAGGAGCGAGGCTCGCAACGGGCGCGCGCTGCGGATGAGAAGGCGCGCCGGGAGCGGAACGAGCCCGCGGCGATCAGCCCGGACGAATCTTCCTCGGACGAGGACGAGCGCAGCTACAATACGTTCGATCAGATCGCGCTGTTCCGCAAGTTCGAGGAGCAGGGGCATCAGATTCGCATCACGAGCGGGAAGAAGAACGCGTCCGCGATTGAGTGGGAGCTCCCGACGGTGGACATGCAGGACACGAGAGCGGCGCGGCTCGTGATCGTCCTCGACGCCCTGAAGCGTCTGCACGTCGAGCACAGGCTGTTCGACCAGTTGCGGGAGCATCTGCAGCACCCGGCGCTTCTGCCGCCGCTGGTGCACGTGCTCCAACGCGACGACAAAGAAAAGTCCCCCGCGGCGAGACCGAAACGAGACGGTTTCCAATTCCCCCTCGCGAACTTCGACGAAGACGCTCAGAAGAGCGAAGACGAGTTCCCGAACCGCGTCGGGGACGAGTTCTTGTCCGGGTACCAATCCGCGGAGGAGCACCCGGTGCTTCGTAAAGGCCGGTTCCTCGACAGAATCAAGGAAGCCGGGACGTTGGCCTCGGACGAAGCGCAGCAGGACGAGCTCACGCTCGCGGAGATGGCGGAGAACAACAACATCAACTGGGACCTCGTTCGGCAGCAGTCCCTCCAGGTGAACGGGCACCTCCTGCCGGATGATCTCATTCATCACACGCAGACCGTGTTTGGCGTCGCGATGAGCTCGCGCGGGATGATCCCGGGGGGGTATCTCCTTCAGTTCGCGACGCAGGCGAACAAGATTCAGGAGATGCTCGAGAAGGACGGGAAGCCGCCGCAGTCGGGCAAACGCACGATCGACGTCTACGCGGAGATTTTGAAGTTTTTCACGCCGACGGAGGACCCGACGACCATCTACGCGGGGTTGTGGTCGGACGAGGTCCACGGGGACTGCGTCGCGAGGGTGAGCGGGGAGGTGCTGGACGGGGCCAAGGTGGCGGCGGAGAAGGAACCGATTCCGTCGTGGGAGTGCAACCTGGACGAGCAATTCGACCCGGGCTACCCGTTGTCGAACAAGGTGATCGAGGTCGACGGCATCGCCCCGGAGACGGACGAGGAGAAGATCAAGGACATCGTCGCCGCGCTGAGGGTGATGGCGACCGCGAGGCAGCTGCCGTTGCGTTTAGTGCAGGTCATCGCGCAGTACGTCGCCGCGAGGGAAGCCGCGGAGGCGGCGAAGAGAGAGGACAAGGCTGCGAAAGGGGAGGGGTTACGCCGTCGCCGGCCTTTCAAGAGCCGGTTAGGGCCCGCGGAGAGGGTCGACGCGGTGTCCCCGGACGCGACCGTGGGACGGACCGCGTCGGGCACCGTCGCGGAGGACGCGGAGGACGACGCGGGGACGCCGATTCGTCTGGACGATTTCGGCGTGCGGCTTCGAAAGCTCAGCGGGATCGATCTCGACTACCTGTGGCACTTCACCCGCAACCGGTGGCTCGCGCGGAAGCGCGTGTTGGATCACGTCACCGCGCCGACCATGGCGCCGATCCCGGACGTGATGTCCGACCGGTCGCCGATCTTNGGCATCGTGGACACGGCCGGGAAGAATTACGCGGAGCCCGTGGTGGACGACGCCGGCGCCGGCGCCGAGGCTGCGAACGCGGCGCGGAAGTCCACGGGGAAGAAGAAGAAGAGCGTCAACAAAGAGTACGAACTCTGCGCGGACGAGTCGGAGCGCAAGCTGCGCTTGTCCGTCGGCGTGTGGAGGGCGCTGTATCCGACCATCACCCCGAACGCGGCGTCCTCGGAGTCGCCGCCGCCGCCGCCGATGGAGAGCTTCTTCGGCGAACGTCTTCTGAACTACCTGTACAGCGACATGCAGGAGGACTACCGGTACGTGCACATGGACCCGGAGGAGGGCCGCGTGCGGTCCGTGGACCAGTGCAACCGTCTCGAGGAACAAGAGCACCTGTTGCAGAACTTGTTGTGCGCGAAGCTGATGTTGCGGAGAATTCTGGACGAGATTCTCGCGCTCGCGAAGCGCGCGCTTTCGGAGTTCCGCACCGAGGAGGAGATCTGCGACCTGGACATGACGATACCCGAGGATGAGGAGAGGCTGCGCGCGTTTTGGCGCGTGCAGACGTTCTTGCAGTTCAAAATCTGCGAGCTCAAGAAGAAGATCCTGAGCTTCGACACCTCGGAACTCGAGCTGGAGAGACGCGCGACGGAGATGAGACGCATCGAACTCCAGAAGATTGGCGCGGAGCTCAAGAGACATGCCGCGGAGGTGGCGAAACCTCGCACGAACAAGGCGACGGCGGAGTCCGCGAAGGATAAGGCGAAGACGAAGGAGGTGGAACGCGCGCGCGAGGAAGAGCGCGGACGGATCCAACAAGAGCTGAACCTCCGCCTGCAGCTCAACGCGCAAAAAGTGGACGACGTCAAGAACCAGATTAGGGTCGCGCACGATGCGCTCGCGTACAAGGACGCGCGGCTGTCCAAGCTCAGGAAGTCTCCAGCCTTCCTCGCGGCGATGCACGAGATGGGTCTGCCGCTGACGCTGTCGAGGGAACGCGCGGACGTCGTGGAGCGGGAGATTGACGAGTTCAAGGCGACGGGAAAGATCCCGGACGCGACGAAGGCGCTCCTGGCGAACGTGAAGAAGATTCCGAAGCGGCTCGCGATGCCGCTCGTGCACGCGCAAGAGCGCCTCCTCGCGATCGACCTTCAGATGGAAGCGTTGCTTCACGAGCGCGCGGAGGTTATCGTAGATCTGCACGACAACGAGATCGTCGACAACTATCAGATGATCCACACGCTCGTCAGGCAGTGCCTCATCACGCAGCTCGAGAAGAAAGCCGCGGCGGCGGAGAGCGCTTCGATGATGATCGAGCAAGAGCGGCTCCTCGCGGAGGTTGGCAGGGCTGAGGAGGAAAAGAAGCGCAAGGAGCAAGACGCGAAGGCGAAGAAGGCGAAACAAAAGGCGAAGGAGCGCGAGAAGAAGGAGAAGGACGCCGCGGAAGCGAAAGCCGCGAAGCTCGCCGCGGAGGAAAAAGCCAAGGAGGAGGAGGAAGCCGCCGCCGCGTCGCTCGCCGCCGCCGCCGCCGCGAAAATCGAAGCGAAGAAGAAAGCGGAAGCGGAAGCGGAGAGGGAGCTCGCGCGGAGACGCGCGCAGATCGAGCGCGAGGAAAAGAAGCGCAAGGAGCTCGAGGAAGAGATGGATCGCAAGGAGCTCGAGGAGGCGAAAGCCGCGTCCGCGGCGCTCGCGGCGGATCGCGAGTCCAGGGAAAAAGCCGAGCGCGAAGCGCTCGCGGCGGCGGTTCGCGCGAGGCAAGAGCGGGAGGAGCGCGAGGAAGCGCATCGACGCGAGCACGAGTTGGCGCTCGAACGCGTCGCCGCGGAGGCGCAGCTCGCGGCGGTGAGAGCCGCCGAGGCGGCGGCGCAGGCGGCGAGGGAAGCCGCCGCCGCGGAGGCCGCCGCGATTGCCGCGCGCGCGAGGGTCAACGGCAGCAGCGTCAGCAGCGACAGCTCGTCCACGCCCGCGACGTCCAAGACCGGCGGGGAACACTCCAGGAGCGGCTCGAATCCGCGCCTGAGCGCGATGGCGTCCGAGTTCGCGCCCGCGCACTCGCCGGGGTCGCCGTCGCGGCACTCGCCGCCGCCGCCGTCGGGGCCGGCGTCGCCGCCGCCGCCGCCCCCGGGGCCGCCTCCCGGGCCGCCTCCCGGGCCGCCGCCGCTGCCGACGACGCCGCCGGAGACGTCCGAGTCCGCGGACGATGGCGGGCGAGGCGGCCGAGGCGGCCGCGGGAAGAAAAACGCCAACGCCAACGCCGTCGGCGGCCGCGGCGGCCGCGGCGGCCGCGGCGGTCGCGGCGGTCGCGGCGTCGCGCGCGACGAGCACCCACACTCCCCGCCGCTCCCTCCCGGGATGCCGCCGCCCGGGTACGTCAACGGCCACGGGAACCCGCCCCCGCCGCCGCCGGGATACGCGCCCCCGACGGGCGCGTTTCCTCCCCCGGGGATGATGCCGCCGAACGGCGCGTACGGGTATCCCCCCGGGATGCCTATCCCGCCGCACGCGTACCACGGGGTGCCGCCGCCTCCCGGGATGCCGCCGCAGGGATTCACCGGAGGCCCGCCGCCGCCGTACGCCGTGCCCGTGGCGTACGCGCCCGGGCACGCGGGGTATAAACCCCCGCCGCCGGGCGCGCCGCCGCCGCCGATGCAATTCGGCGCGCACGATCACGTCGCGTACGCCGCGCAGCTCTCGGCCGGCGCTCGCGACGGCGTCGTCGTCGGCGTCCCGCTGAACGGCGCGAGCCCTCCCCCGCCGCCGGGACCGGGACCGGGACCTCTCGCGGCGGGCGTCCCCGTCCGCGCGACCGTCGCGGCGCACGGCGGACCCGCGGCTGCGGCGGCGAGTGCCGC